CAAAAGTGGCCGTCTCCTGAACGCTTGCATGATGACAATCAAGCGAGGTTCTGGACGGGGGGGTTCTCCAGGGACTTCTGCATCATCGGGGACATCGGGGACTTCAGCATCACAACATTGTCATCGATCACAGCATTGTCATGACCACAATATTGTCATCGATTGGGGTGGGGGGGTCGGGGGGTCACAACAGTGATCACAACATTGTCATCGACGTCACCATATTTGGTTCCGACGGTGCAACCTTTTATTCAATGATTCCAAAGATACTATCGATCTCAGGAACCTCCTTGCTGCTCACTACCTCAACAAGGGACCTGGGTTGAAACGGGTCTTGAGAGCTCTCGCGATTTTTCGCGCAAAGGCATGCGAAGCATGCGTGGTGCCACGCGATGCTTTCAGAAAAGCACGATGGCAAACTTAAGACCGAAAGGAATGAAGATCAGACAAAAAAAGGGCTGACTATCAGACATAACTTTTTTGGCCGTGCAAATGTACTGTGACTTACACTGTAAAAAGCACCACATCCTTGTCCAAATCTGGCACTACTCTGTTCATAATCGACTTCTCCTCGCGGATTTTGTCGAAAAAACCGTTTGTCTTAGCACTTTTTCAATGCATCAAAGAAAGCGCGCTTTTTCAGAAACACAGGCAGGCTTTGCGTTTTCGACTCGTCTGACGTTTGCTTGTGTTTTTTCGCCCGGAGAGCCCCCACATCTGCAGCCTCAAGCGAGCTGCACTTGAGCACTGGGGTTGAAGTAATCCTCAGCGCCGTGAGTGCTGATTACGCGGATCATTATCAAGACTGATAGTGTTCATGTAGCTTGTGGCTATAGTATGTCAGAGCAAAAACATTTGACGACACTGAACGAACCATGTGTGACACTGTGTGGCGCTCTGCCAGCGACCTTTGCACGTCGCTGTTTGTGCGATGCTTGTCCTGGCAGGAGAAGAAAAAAGTGAGGACGCCTTGAGCCGTGAGGTGCTTCCATGTTACTAAAGTTTCTCCTCGAGCCAAATGAATAGCGTGAACTATCCTGCGGCAGGTTACCTAGTAGTTTGTAGACGGCCCTTAATTAAGACGAGAGCCGTTGGAAAAACGCCTCGTAAATAGCTTGGCTGACGCTTGCCTTGCCGTCGGAAAAGAGCGAACCGCGAGATGATGGCGTCAACAATCTTGTTCTTGAAAATAGGGTGGAGGCCATTACTGCTAGTAGCAAGAAGCTACTAGGTTGGAGACCATCGCTATTAATTAGGTTCCTTAAATATGCTGTTTCTCTCCTGTTTCTCTTCTGGTTCCTTAGAGTTTTAGACCTTTTATTTCCTTTAAGGCAGATGGCTTCCACATGCTTCCACTGAAGTTCAGGTTTCTGAACCGATCCCCGAATCCGTGTTTTTGAGTCCACTTTACGGATCTTTACGGTTTTCGTTTTGGAGAGGCATTTGACACCTGCCTCCATAAGCTCATGGGTGAGTTGCAACCCATTTTGCATGCATGAATTGCTCCATCACC